TTTTTTGCTATAGGGCGTGTGCACTCGCCAGAAAGACAGAGAGACAGAAAGCAAGAAATCACTCCCCAGGGGGGATGGCCACGCCGCAATCCCTTCTCCTCTATTCTCCTCTTGGGATCTTGGGCATGCACACACATGCACCCAGTGTGAGTTTAAGCCACCGGGTCCAGGACTCGAACTATGGTCGACTACATGGGAGTCCAGCGACAAAGCAGTTATGCCAACTGTTTGTTTTAAAGAGAGATTTTTACTATAGGCGGGCTGGTAGGTGGTGTGTGGTTAAGGACAAAGGACTCCCACATGGCCGACTGAGGTTTGAGTCCCAGGCCTGGTGGCTTGCTTTCTCACTTTCTCTCTCTTTCTCTCCTTCTCTCACTGTGTCCCTCTCTGGTCAAATTAAATGAATAAATAAGTAACTTAGTTAGAGAAAATAATTCTTATTTAAAAAGAAAATTTTTGTTATAGGGTATGCACTCATTGGAGAGACAGGAAGTGAGAAATCAACCCCCAGGGGGTATGGCCACATTGCAACCCCTTCTCCTCCACTCTCCTCAGGGTTTTGGGCACGCATGCACACATGCCCGCATTAGTTTAAAGCTGCCGGGTCCAACCGAACAGCGGTCAACTACATGGGAGTCTAGCAACATAACCACTGTGCCATCTGCTGCTCCCATACACTGCCTGCATTTCTATTACAGCAGGATCATCTCAGCTCCCCTACCAAACAAGAAGCTCTTTATGGATGGGAATCGGAACTTCTGCTTCTCTGTATCTCCTCGGCACTTAGGTTATGCCAGGTTCTCAAGATAAGAACCACAGGGCCCTCATAGATTATGTGTTTGAAACCTGCTTTGGTTGGTATTGATGAGAAAACTGAGGCCCAGAAAAGGGGAATTGTCAGGGCTTTTGACTCCTACTCTGCCGATGCTGACAGTAACCTAATGAATCCATACACTCATTCATGCAGCCCTAAGCCACTGAGCATTCACTACCACAGGCTGCAAGGCAATGGTGAAGTGTTTTCTTTGGAGCAGACAGAAACTCTTTACCATTCATTAGGCCTGTAACACTGGGCAATTCAATCCTCTGGACCTGATCTATAGTACGCAGAGTAAGAGACAATCTATATTTATTTCATGAGGTTGTTGTGAGGACTAAATAAGATCATTCACTAAAATGCTCAGCAAGGTGCCTGGCATACCATAAGCACTTAACACAAGATACTATTATTACGGGCCTCTGAAGCCCAAGATACTATTATTACAGGCCTCTGAAGCTCCAGAGTCACGTTTCCTGTTTTCCAAGAGCTGACAGTTTGAGAAAAGGAGGATCAAGGAAACGGACAGGGACAACCAGGGTCACGACAGATCTAAGGGCACAGGGAGGGCTCGATCCTGCCTGCAGAGTGAAGACCACTGCAGTCAGGTCTCTAAGGACAAGAGGAGATTTGCTGGCAGGACACAGGGAAGGGCAACCTAGGGCAAGGACAAACATCTGATGAAGGCAATGAAGGGGTCCCCGCCGGTCGTCCGGAGTAGCTGCAGCCCGCACATACTCACGGCGCGTGTCGGCCGCGGCGCTCTCCTTCCTCACCGGCAGCAGCAGCACCGAGGGTCGCCCGGCCCCTGGACAGCTAGTTAAAAGGCACAGAGGTGGGGCTGAGCCTGAGGAGCTCTCAGCCCTGGCCCCCTGCCCGGGCCCTCCCCGGCTGCCCCTGCTCACCCCTGGCCAGCGCCGCGGCTCCCACGAGCCCGCGCAGCCAGACCCTGGCTGCAGCAGCCGCCATTTTCCCCGGATGCTGACCGAGGAAGAGCCCACAGGACACGGAGCCCCAAGGGCACGGACCGGAAGCGGAAGTGTGCAGCGGATCTTCTTCCGGGCGGACACAAGGCCGGAAGCAGAGGTTCCGGGTTCCGGGCACCGGAATGAAAGGAGGGAACGCAGGTGAGAAAGCGAGACGGGCAGGTGGGGAAACTTTGAGGTGAACGTAGCGCTTGCTCGGTGAGGCAGTATCTGGAAAGAAGGCGAGGACGTCGAGGAACCCGACTGGTGAGAGGAGGGAAAGGGACGGGCGTTCTGGGGTCTGCGTTCCACACCCCTCCCCCACTCTCCGGGCCAAGCTTTTGACGAGGGCGGGCAGGCCTGGGGAGAGGTGGGGGCGGGAGAACGGTTGCCCTGACGACCGTTTCCAAGCGACTTCAGGTGGATCCGGGACACTGCACAGGGCCATGGGCCTTCTAGTCGCCCTGATTGGGAACAGCCGGCCTCTGTCTCTAGTTCCACGACAGAGCCTTGGGAAGTCGTCAGGGCCAGCTGGGAAGAAAAGCTCAGCAGAGAGCAAATGTGGGGCTGGCGCCTGTCCCAGCCCAAGCCTCTTCTTGGAGGGTCGGGACTCCTTGCGCGGGGTGAGAGGGGACCTGGACCCAACGTGGGGCCTTTTTTGTCAGGTTTTGTTGTTCCCAATGGTTTTATGCCTGAGCTATTTGGTTAGTAGAGCTTTTAGATGATAGGCTTTTTCCTCCAACCCCTTGTTTTCATGGTTGACCTAGATACCAAGTCTTTTGTTACATCACAGAAAGAAATATTCTGTGTTTTTGTTTGTTTGTTTGTTTTTAAGAAAACACCCAGAGTTGGATTTTTGATTGCTTTCAGTGGGGGAAGGGTGTCATTGCAGAACAGTTAACCCACCTTTGGTTAAGGGAGAGTACAGGGACATCACTGGAATGGCAGGGCTAAGGCCAGTTTGATCCACTTTACTTTTTCCTTTTCCCTCCATAAGTTGGACAGTTGGATTCACAGACTATGGCTGTGGATTTCCCCAAGTCACTCAGAATAGTGTTGCTTTGCAGACAGCTGGCAGAGAGAGAAGTTGGCTGCCATGGAGTCACCAGAGGAACCTGGAGCGTCCATGGATGAGAACTACTTTGTGAACTACACTTTCAAAGATCGCTCACACTCAGGCCGTGTGGCTCAGGGCATCATGAAACTGTGTCTGGAGGAGGAGCTCTTTGCTGATGTCACCATTTCAGTGGAAGGCCGGGAGTTTCAGCTCCACCGGCTGGTCCTCTCAGCTCAGAGCTGCTTCTTCCGGTCCATGTTCACTTCCAACCTGAAGGAGGCCCACAACCGGGTGATTGTGCTGCAGGATGTCAGCGAGTCTGTTTTCCAGCTCCTGGTTGATTATATCTACCATGGGACTGTGAAACTTCGAGCTGATGAGCTGCAGGAAATTTATGAGGTGTCAGACATGTATCAGCTGACATCTCTCTTTGAGGAATGTTCTCGGTTTTTGGCCCGCACAGTGCAAGTGGGAAACTGCCTTCAGGTGATGTGGCTGGCAGATCGGCACAGTGATCCCGAGCTCTACACTGCTGCCAAGCACTGTGCCAAGACCCACCTCGCCCAGCTGCAGAGCACAGAGGAATTTCTGCACTTGCCCCACCATCTCCTCACTGATATCATCTCCGGTAAGTTTAGAGAGGGGACGTTTAGAGAGGGGACACATTGTAACTAACTGCGTGAGTATGTTGTTTAGTGGGTGTTGTAGTTCAGGAGCAAGGAACCCTCAAGCTTTCTGGTGTTAGTTGACATTATTATTTCTGGTAGGAATTTATTGGGTTTCAGAGAGTAATGAAGTATTTTTTCCATGCTTTTCTATTCAAAACTGTGTCATCTTTAAGAGAGATTTTTGCTGTAAGAGTGGGTGGGCTCACCAGAGAGATAGTGAGAAATCAAGCCCCCGGGGGGATGACCATGCCATAATCCCTTCTCCATTCTCCTGTCAGGATTTTGGGCACGTACACACACCTGGCATGAGTTTTAAGCCACCAGGTCCAGGACTCCAATCACAGTCGACTAGGTGGGAGTCCAGCAACATAACCATTATACGATCTGCTGGTCCCTGCATCATGACTTTTTAAACAATCCAATAGAGACCTACTGAGAGAGGTTAATATTCAGTGTATCTGCTGTTGTAGACAGAGTCCCTTACAGAGGAAGAAGCTAGGAAAATAAAAGTGGCAGCACTTACCCACAAAAGGTAGTGAGGGGCTATTCGTATTGTGCTCTAATCTCTCCTGTGCCTGAGTGTTTTCATCTGTCCTGAACTTTTTTGTACTTTTGAGACTAGTTACTTAAATAAACTGATGATGAATCAATAGTAACATAAGGCCCTCAGTGGTGTAGTCAGTAGTGTACCGGACTGTAGTGCTAGAAGCCACAAGGCCAAATGCAGGTGGACCCTGAAACACATCGGGTATGTGTGGACACCCTAAGATCTTAAAGAGCTGGAGGCCTGAAGGAAAGGGATTGTGGCATAAGGAAACCCTTATAGAGGATGCTTTTCTCTTATATGTGCATGCACATGCTATTGTGAAGAAAACAAACTTAAAAAAAAAAAAAACTATTTAGTTTTATCATTATTTTTCAGTTTGACAAGAGAGAGAGAGGGAGAGTAGGAAAGCAAGACGCCAGGTCTAGGACTTGAACTGTGATTGGCCATGTGGGAGTCCAGCACTTCAACTACCATACCACCTGCCAGCCCCCAAAATAAACTTATAAAGCTATCTAAGCCTGGGACCAGCGGTTAACGTAATGGCTGGGTCACTGGACTCCCATGTAGTCGACTGCGGTTCGAGTCCCGAACTCGGTGGCTTAAACTCACACTGGGCGCGTGTGCGTGCATGCCCAAGATCCCCAGAGGAGAATGGAGGAGAAGGGATTGTGGCGTGGCCATCCTCCCTGGGGGGTGATTTCTTGCGTTCTGTCTCTGTCTTCCTGGCGAGCACACACACCCTTTGACAAAAACCACTCCAAAAAAAAAAAAAGCTATCTAGGCTTTTGCTCTCCTGATATAATGGGTACTCTGTAGAGGTCACTAGAAAAACCAAGAGAATTTTTTTCTTTAAAGATTTATTTTAGGGACCAGCAGTTTGCTTAATGGCTATGTCGCTGGACTCCCATGTAGTCGACCACAGTTCGAGTCCCGGACCTGGTGGCTTAAACTCACGCTGAGCGTGTGTGCATGCATGCCCAAGATCCCAAGAGGAAAATGTAGGAGAAAGGATTGTGGTGTGGCCATCCCCCATGGGGGGTGATTTCTCGCTTTCTGTCTCTCTGTCTTTCTGTCTGTCTGGCGAGCACACGCGCCCTATAGTAAAAACCTCTCCCCCCCAAAAAAAAAAAGATTTATTTTATATAACTTTATTTCTTTTCTTTTTTTTCTTTTTAATAATTATTTTAATTTACATTTAATCACGTGCATCTTTACAGTGTACAACATTGCTTTTTCCAGCATGAATATGATGTATATCAGTCAAGATAAAGATATTACTCTATATATTATCATTAGCAATTAGCTTTTCATTTTTCTGTCAATTCAACTTACTTTTTTTCTTTCCCTGTTCCCCTCTTCATCCCTTCATTACCCTTCCCCCATATTACCCCTATCTTCACTTTCTCTAGTATCTACCGTTGCCTTCCCAGCTTCTATACCTTACAAACTTTCAGTTTCTGATATAGCACACAATCTGTATATATATTGTTTTTCCTTTTTCCCCCCACATTTTATTGATTCACAAAATTTCTTAAATAATCGAACTACTTTCAATAGCAAGCTCTGCTGATATATACATATCTACGAGTACATGTCTGTCTTAAGGCTTGAAACTCTGAGTAGAAGGAATACACTATAAGGTAGCACCTAACTGATGCTATATAGTATACTGTGGTCATTAATTATGTATTTTTACTATATTTTTTAATTTCAAGAAAAGCAGATTTAACTTTAATAAGTGAAAGAAATGCTAAGGAAATATGCTTAAAACTTAAAGCCAGGAAACAGGTTGGGATTCTGTTCAAATAGTGGGTATATGAACCTATTGGTAGTTCAAGACAAGACAAAAATCCTTAAAATCGGAAAACAAAGCCTAGAAAAAAAAAAATCAATGTTTTAGTCAAAAGTCATAAAATTCTGTTTCACCAGTTCAGTCTCATGTACTTTATTTTTTGTTATGATTCATTTTTCCCAATTAAATTCTGGGATATAATACTCAACTCCAGACTTGTCCCCAGGATTAAGTTGGCTGTTTTCTTAGTTTTTGAACTCTTATTTCTATGTGACTGTATTTAATTTTTCTGGTATAGCACTCCCTGCAGAATTTCTTGGAGATCTGGTCTGGTGTTGGTAAATTCTTTCAGGATTTATTTATCTGAGAATGTTCTTGTCTTTTCTTCCCATATGAAGGATAATCTTGTCGGATATAGTATCCTTGGTTGTAATTGCTTTTCCCTTAACACTTTGAATATATTTTCCCATTCTTTTCTCACTCACATTGTTTCCAATGAGAGATCCACTGTCAGCCTGATGGGATATCCTTTGTAGGTAACTTGCCGTTTCTCTCTTGCCAATCTTAGTATCTTGTCTGTCTGGGGGATGGCTACGCCACAATCCCTTCTTCTCCATTCTCCTCTTGGGATCTTGGGCATGTATGCACACGCGCCCAATGTGAGTTTAAGCCACTGGGTCTGGGACTTAAACGAGGGTTGATTACATGGCAGTTCAGTGACATAGCCATTATGTTAACTGCTGGTCCAGTGGATCTTTGAATGCTTCTGTTTGGAAAGTTTTCTTCCAGGATTTCATGGAGTAGATTGTCAGTGTCCTTATGGGTCTCTTCCCCTTTTGGGATACCAGTTATCCGGATGCTTGGACGTTTGATTGTATCTAGTATTTCTCGTATAGTATTCTCATGTTTTTAGACAATTTTCTCAAGTCTTCGTGGTGGATTTCTCTAGGCCAGTGATTCTATCTTCTACATCTGTGATTCAGTTCTCAGTGTGATCTAGTCTGCTTTGAATACTTTCAAGGGAGGTTTTGACTTCCTGTATTATAACCCTCATCTGTAACAGGTCCATTTGATTCTTTTTTTTTTTGATATAGGGTGCATGTGCTCGCCACACAGACAGAGAGAGACAGACAGAGAGACAGAAAGCGAGAAATCACTCCCCAAGGGGAATGGCCGCGCCACAATCCCTTCTCCTCCTGGGATCTTGGGTATGCACGCACACGCGCCCAGCGTGAGTTTTAAGCCACCGGGTCTGGGACACGAACCGCGGTCGACTACGTGGGAGTCCAGTGACATAGCCATTACACTAACTGCTGGTCCCTTGATTCTTTTTTAAAGTGTATAATTCCTCTTTTAGATCTTGCAAGAATTTCCTCACCTCCTGAAGCTCATCAGCTCCCTTCCCCTGCCTCTTCAGCAGTTCGTTGTCTCTCTTCTCTTTTATCTCTGTGAGCTTTGTCACCATGAAAATCCTAAATTCTTTATCAGACAACATTTCCATGTATTTCATCATACTGTCTGAGGATGAAGAGGAGTTATTTTTCCTTGGAGTAGAGGTATTTTCTTGTTTTTCCATACTTCTTGTGACCCTGTGGTGATTTCTAGTCATTAGATCGATGGTGCATTTCTTCTAATTCTTGAAGTTTAGTCTGTGTTCAGAGGCATGCAGGAGGAGGTGATCTGCAATTTCTCTTCTGTTTCGTTCTCACTCTTTGTGCATCAGAATCAGTGGGAATAGAGGAATATTCTGACCCTAACTGTATTCAGATATATAGATTCTGTTTACTTGGACCTGGCTAGACACTTAGTGAGTAGAGGCTGAGAAGCCAAGGAGTAAAGATAAAAAAAAGAAAAAAATTAAAGGAAAGAAGAAAATATAAAATAATAAAAGAAGGATACTAAGAAACTATAGATTTTAATATTAAAATGCAAAAATTAAAAACCGTGTGGTGCTTTCACAGCTGAAGTTCAGGGTCCATGTGGAGATGGGCCTGGGTTTGTACCTTTCTTAAACAGAAGGAGAGAGGCACTCAATAACACAATAAAGATACTTGATCTTAAAAAAAAAAAATTAAGGACCAGCAGTTGGAGTAATGGCTATGTCACTGGACTCCCATGTAATTGACCTTGGTTTGAGTCCCAGTCCCGGTGTCCTAAACTCACACGCCCAAGATCCTGAGATGAGAATGGAGAAGGGATTGTGGCATGGCCATCCCCCCTGGGGGAGTGATTTTTCACTTTCTGTCTCTCTCTGTCTTTCTGGCGAATTCACACCCTATATCAAAAACCTCTCCAAAAAAAAAAAGAAAAAAAAATGAAAAAAGGAAAAATTAGCCTCAGGGAGACACAGAGACAGAGAGAAATGGAGGCAAAGAGACAGGCAATACTACCCACTAGAAATAAGTGAGGAAGAAATCTCAGCAGAAAATCTTCATTTTAAGTCTCTGGAAGCACTATTTGACAGCTGAAGTTCCGGATCCAGGTGGCTATTTGTTGATTTTCATTTGACCAGAGCAAGAGAGGGAGAGAAGTGAGAAAGCAAGCTGCCAGGTCTGGGACTCAAACTGCAATTAGCCATGTGGAAATCCAATGCCTTTAACCATCATCATGCCAACTGCTGACCCCCAATAATTATTTTATTTTATTTATTCATTTATTTTAATTTGACCAGATTGGGGGTAAGTGAGAAAGCAAGCTGCCAGGTCTGGGATTTGAACTACAGTCAGCCATGTGAGAGCCAGCACCCATGACCACCATGCTACCCACTGGCCCTCATTCATTTATTTTAATTTGACCAGATTGGGGGTAAGTGAGAAAGCAAGCCACCAGGTCCAGGACTTGAACCATGGTTGGCCATGTAGGAATGTCCAGCATCTTAACCACCACACCACCCACTGGCCCCCAAGGAAGATGTAGTTTTAAAAGATGATGGACATGTAATGACTTTGGAGAAATTCAGGGATGAAGTAAACAGGGACTCAGGAAATATGGTCAGCATTTCAGTAACACCACGAAGTCGAAGAAATAAATGATTGTGTAAGAGTTAAAAAAGAAAGAAAGAAAGAAAAGGTACTTAACGTAGGAAACTTTGTAGGAGACCAGCAGGTGGTATAGTGGCATAGTAGTTAAGGCACTGGACTCCCACAAAACTGACCATGGTTTGAGTCTCAGACGTGGTGATTTACTTTCTTACTTTCTGTCTGTCTGTCTCCGTCTGGTGAGCATATATGCCTTATAGCAAAAAAAAAAAAAAAAAAAAAAATTAAATATTCAAAAAAGAAAAAGAAACTTTGTCAAGTAATGGATCAAATTTAGTTAACAATTCTAGCCCACGGAACCAGCAGTTGATACATTGGCTATGTCGCTGGACTCCCATGTAGTTGACAGCAATTCGAGTCTCGGATCCGGTGGCTTAAACTCATACCGGGCGCATGTATGTGCGTGCCCAAGATTCCAAAAGGAGAAGGGATAGTGGCATGGCCATTCCCCCGGGGGAGTGATTTCTCACTTTCTGTCTCTCTGTCTGTCTCTTTCTGATGTGTGCGCTCACCCTATAGCAAAAACCTCTCCAAAAAAAGAAATTCTGGCCTTCAGGTGAGGAATAACCACACTTTAGGTGAGTTCTGCAACCTAATAAGTTGTTCTTATGGCAAATAGAAACATATCAGGATGTCCATTTTGTTTTTAAAAAAAAAAAACAACGCTGTTTTGTGTGCGCGCACACACAGTAGTCTCATAAAGAGGTTCATGTTGGGACCAGCAGTTAGCGTAATGACTGTGTCACTGGACTCCCACATAGTGGACCGCGGTTCAAGTCTCGGACCCGGTGGTTTAAACTCACACCAGGCGCAAATGTGTGCGTGTGTGCCCAAGATCCCGAGAGGAGAATGGAGGAGAAGGGATTGCGGCGTGGCCATCCCCCCTGGGGGGTGATTTCTTGCTTTCTAGCTCTCTGTCTCTCTCTGTCTTTCTGGCGAGCGCACGCGCCCTGTAGGAAAAACCTCTTAAAAAAAAAAGCAGTTCATGTTTTAAAGTGCCTTGCTCTAAATTTTCCTTGAAGATTGTCATCGACCATGCCTTCATTCTGTTTCTCACAGATGGAGTTCCGTGTTCCCAGAACCCAACAGAGGCAATAGAAGCCTGGATCAATTTTAATAAAGAAGAAAGAGAAGCTCTGGCAGAGTCACTGAAGACAAGCTTGAAGGTAAGGCACATGTCTTAAGAGTTGGGAGACAAGTGGGGCCAGCAGGTGTGGTGGTTAAGGCATTGGACTCCCATGGGGCCAACAATGGTTCAAGTTGCAGACCTGGTGGCTTGCTTTCTCACTTTCCCTCTCTGGTCAGATTAAAAATAATGACAGTGATAAATACAATTCCATAAATAATTTTTAAAAAGAAATGTTTAATATTCACTTATTTATTTTTAATTTAACCAGAGATGGATAGAATAAGAGATGGGAAGTGAGAAAGCAAGCCACCAGGTCTGGGACTCGAACCACAGTCGGCCATGTGGGAGTCCAGCGTCCTTAACCACTTTGCAACCTGCTGGCCCCCATAAATAATTATTTTTTATACTTTTTTTTTTTTTTTAAGAGAGATTTTTTTCTATAGGACATGTGTGTTCCCCAGAGAGAAAAAGAAAGCAAGCAAGAAATCACCTCCCAGGGTGGATGACCATGCCGCAATCCCTTTTTCTCCATTCTCCTCTCGGGATCTTGGGCACACATGCACATGCACCCAGCGTGAGTTTAATCCACCGGGTCCGGGACTTGGACCACAGCCAACTACATGGGAGTCCAGCAACATAGCCATTATGCTAAGTGCTAGCCCCACCCATAAAAAATTCTTTAAAAAAGAAATTGGGACCAGCAGGTGGTGTGGTGGTTAAGGCGCTGGACATTCCCACATGGCCGACCAGGGTTCGAGTCCTGAATCTGGTGGCTTGCTTTCTCACTTCCTCTCTCTCTCACTCTCACCTTCTGTCTCTCCCTGGTCATATTATAATATAAATGAATGAATAAATAAAAAATAAATAATAAAAAAAATGTTTTTGGAGAGGTTTTTGCTATAGGGTGCATGCACTCTCTAGAAAGACAGAAAGCAAGAAATTACCCCCCACAGGGGATGGCCATGCTGCAATCGCTTCTTCATGCTCTTCTTGGAATCTTGGGCACGCACGTACACGTGCCCAGCGTGAGTTTAAGCCACTGGGTCCAGGACTCAAATTCTAGTCAGCTACATGGGAGTCAAGCGACATAGCCACTACGCCAACTGCTGGTCCCCAAAATTTTTTTTTAAAAAAGAGTGGGATACCAGGAGCCTGTGGGTGGCATGGCGGTTTAGGTGCTGGACCTCCCCCAGACCTGGAGGCTTGCATTTTCACTTTCCCTTACTCTCTCACTCTCTCACTCTGTTCCTCCCTGGTCAAGTGTAAATAAATAAATCAGTAAATAAATAAATAGAGTTAAATAAAATAAGTCTTTAAAAAATAAAATTAAGTAAATCTAAAAAAATAAATAATAGAGTTGGGATGCCATAATCTCCATGCCGTCCATTCAGCAGTAGGCCTTGTCTTTGTTGACTATCTCTGGCATCAAATTGATACGCATTTGGGAGAACTATGTTTGTGAACCAGAAACCTGTGAGCCTTAAAGCTCCTTGAGAGAACTACTTTCACTGAGTTAACAATCCTAAATACCTTTCATCTAAAGCACCCGTTTATGTTGATTTTTAAAAAAAAGCTTTAAGGATAAGTGCAACAGATCCTGTGTTCTAGTATAAAATGTCTAAGGAAACGGTCAGCAGAGAGTTGGGGTGGCACACAGTACCTAGAGGGGAACGGATCCGAGTGTGGTTCCAGAGCCTTAAGAATGTGTGTGTCAGCAGAGCTGTAGCCGCAGTTTGATGTCACTTACCACTTTAATTTCGCCAATAGGAAATTGGGGAGAATGTGCACATTTACCTGATCGGGAAAGAATCATCTCGCACTCACTCGCTGGCTGTGTCCTTGCACTGTGCAGAAGATGACTCCATCACTGTAAGTGGCCAGAACAGCTTGTGCCACCAGATCACCGCAGCCTGCAAGCATGGTGGAGACTTGTACGTGGTGGGAGGGTCCATCCCACGGCGGATGTGGAAGTGCAACAACGCCACTGTTGACTGGGAGTGGTGTGCACCTTTGCCCCGGGACCGGCTCCAGCACACTCTGGTGTCTGTGCCCGGGAAAGATGCCATCTATTCACTGGGCGGCAAGACACTGCAAGATACCCTCTCCAACGCAGTCATCTATTACCGGGTAGGTGATAATGTGTGGACAGAGACAACCCAGCTAGAGGTGGCTGTGTCAGGGGCTGCTGGTGCCAACCTCAACGGGATCATCTACTTACTAGGGGGGGAGGAGAATGATCTGGACTTCTTTACCAAACCCTCCCGACTCATCCAGTGCTTTGACACAGAGACAGACAAGTGCCACGTGAAGCCCTACGTGCTGCCCTTTGCAGGCCGCATGCACGCAGCTGTACATAAGGATTTGGTGTTCATCGTGGCTGAAGGGGACTCCCTGGTGTGCTACAATCCCCTGCTAGACAGTTTCACCCGGCTTTGCCTTCCCGAGGCCTGGAGCTCTGCCCCATCCCTCTGGAAGATCGCCAGCTGTAATGGGAGCATCTATGTGTTCCGGGACCGATATAAAAAGGGGGATGCCAACACCTACAAGCTTGACCCTGCCACTTCAGCCGTAACTGTCACAAGAGGCATTAAGGTGCTGCTTACCAATCTGCAGTTTGTACTGGCCTGAGGCTGGCCATCGGGAGAGCAGCCGATTGTCTGCCCTCCCTTTTCCAGTACCTTTTCATCCAAACTCGAAGTCCCCTGGACCCTAATTCAGAATAACGTGTTACTCTTGGCACATATCAGAAAGGCATCACCTCAGCCCTTCCCTGGGTCCTTGGGGGTGTTTAGTTCTGGGCTTTATAGACTGTTGCTGCTTAGCCGGCCAGTCTGTTCTCTGCCATCCCCGTAATTCTGGGCTCACTGCAGACTGCTTAGGGCAGGCCTTTGCTCAGACCCAGGGCACAGCCTACCTTCTTCGCCAGATCACCATTAAATAGCAGCAGCCTGGTCCCAGGGCAGAAGGAAGGATGCCGGTCCTTTGTTTCTGTAGCCTGCAGAGTGGCTAGTTTTTAACTTATTCACAAAGAATTAGGGGTTGAGAGTTTCCCCTCAGGCTTTAGTTAGAAAAATGGGCTAAGCTGAGGGTATACTTCACCAGCAAGAGTCAACTTTAGAATCCACATGTTCCTTCTATTATTTTCTCATCTATCTGTTGGGAAATATATAACCTTGGTTTTTATTTTTGGTTTATTCTAAGGGGTAAGCCAGAAAGTAGAAAGGATAATTTCTGATTAATAGCAGAAACTTTTTTGAAATTCAAGTATATAAGGTTTCTGCTCTTTTAAAAGCTCTAAGTCAAGAGCTAAGAACTATTCATACAAATAAAAGGTTTTGAAGGCATCTGTGTCTGTGTTGAATTCTGAAGGGGAGCTAATTCCACAGCTACACATTCTGTCAGTAAGTCGGGAGCAACCCCCATCACCTCCCAGACTTCCTTCCCCACAGGATCACACAAGTGCATGGGGAGCCTCACAGGTCAGGGAAACTGGCTTCTAGCAGTGGCAGAGACAAGGCCGAGTGTTTGTCCTTCCTTTCTCTAGTGTTAAATGCTTTAACTATCATTAGGCACAGTATTTTGGACGTAATAGTTTTGTTGAAAATATTTCGGGGACCAACAGTTGGCATAATGGCTATGTTGCTGGACTGCCATGTAGTCGACCACGGTTCAAGTCCCGGACCCGGTGGCTTAAACTCACACCAGGCGCATGTGCGTGTGTGCCCAAGATCCCCAGAAGAGAATGGAGAAGGGATTGCAGTGTGGCCATTCCCCCTGGGGAGCGATTTCTTGCTTTCTGTCTCTCTCTGCCTTTCTGGTGAGTGCACATGCCCTATAGCAAAAACCTCTCAAAAAAAAAAGGAAAAGGATATTTTTTCTTTGACCCTATTCAAAAAAATAAGATACCCCAATCCCTATCCCACTTCCCATGAATCTAAGCCATGCTAAATCACTTCCTTTCTAGCCATTCAACACTATCATTTCAGGAGAATGAAAAAAGACAAAGGAAGCATAGTTATCCATTATTTAGCGCATTTCTGTTATGTCAAGTCAGGGCGGAAGCCCCTTTGTCCTGTTAAAAGTTTTTTATTCTGTATCAGGCAGAGTCATCCGGCGTTTTCTCTAATCCACGTACTTCATGCGTTTGTGTGTTGGAAGTCTCATCCTTTGCTGCCCCTACAGTAACCTTGTGGAACTCTTTGAGAACTTGCAGCTGGCTGGGTCTGATATGGATGTGTGACCGGATCTTGGTGATGGCTCTGACAGCCTCCTCTGGAGTCCAGTTATGCACCTGAAGTACAGGGTTGGGAAACCAGCAAAAATAAGGAGCAGATGTTAAGGTGTTGAACAACTCCCAGAATTTCATTTTTCAAAAACTTCCATTTTGGTGAGCATTAAACCCATGCTCTGGGTGGGGCCGGCAGGTGGCATGGTGGTTAAGGGGGCTGGACTCCCACATGGCCAACCACGCACGGTTCAAGTCCCAGACCTGGAGGCTTGCTTTCTCACTTTCCACTCTGTCCCTCTCTGGTCAAAATTAAAATAAAGTTAAATAAAATAACTTTTAAAAAATGTCATGGGGTCGGGAACCAGCAGTTAGCATAATGGCTATGTCACTGGATTCCCACGTAGTCGACCGTGGTTCACGTCCCGGACCCGGTGGCTTAAATCTCACGCCGGGCGCGTGTGCCTGTGTGCCCAAGATCCTGAGAGGAGAATGGAGGAGAAGGGATTGCGGCGTGACCATCCCTCCTGGGGGGTGATTTCTCGCTTTCTGTCTCTATGTCTCTCTCTGTCTTTCTGGCGAGCGCACGCGCCCTATAGTGAAAAACCTCTCCAAAAAAAAAGTCATGGGTCCAGCAGTTGGCATTATGGCTACGTTGCTGGACTGCCATGTAGCTGACTGCAGTTCAAGTCCCAGTGGTTTAAACTCACACTGGGCACGTGTGTGTGCCTAAGATCCCAAGAGGAGAATGGAGGAGAAGGGACTGCTGCGTGGCCATCCCCCCTGGGGGGTGATTTCTTGCTTTCTGTCTCTCTCTCTCTGTCTTTCTGACAAGCACATGCACCCTACAGCAAAAACCTCTCCCCCAAAAAAGAAAATGTGGGGTCAGCAGGTGGGGTGGTTGTTAAAGGCACTAGACTCTCACATGACTGGCCATGGTTCAAGTCTCAGACCTGGCTGTTTACTTTTCTCACTTTCCCTTTCTCGCTCTCTGTCTCTGGCTGGTCAAATTAAAAATAATAACAAAAATAATGGTAACAAGTGGAATTAAATAGATAAATCTTAAAAAACAAAAAACAAAAAAACCCACAAAACTCTGGGCTAGCAGGTGGCGTGGTGATTAAGGGCTGGATCCCACATGGCTGACTATGTGGTTTGAGTTATGGACCCAGCAACTTGAAAAACATGCTGGCTGCATATGTGTGTGTCTAAAAATCCTGAGAGAATGGAGAGATTACAGCATGGCTAGTCCCCCTACCGGGGGGCAATTTCTTACTTTCCCTCTCTCCAGCAAGCGCACTCACACTATGGCAAAAATCTAAAAACAATAAAAGAAAAAAACATGTTCTGGGCCAGCTGGATCCCACGTGACCAACCATGAGTTTCAAATTCCAGACCTGGCAGCTTGGGAAACACCCCATGTGCATGTGGGTACCCCCAGGATCCCAAGAGGAGGGAGAGGTGGAGAAGGAATTGCAAAGTGGCCATTCCCCCCTGAAGGAGAGTGCTTTCTGGCTTTCCTTCTCTCTGTCTCCAGCAGGAGCATGTAACCTCTGACAAAGTGCCAGAAAAAAAAAAAAAAAACAAACGAACACTATGCTCTGGGACCAGCCCATGGCCTGGTGGATCCCACGTGGCCAACTGCACAGTGTGAGCCCTAGACCCAGCAGCTTGAAAAAACATGTAGGGCATGTATGCATACAGGCCCAAAATCTTGAAAGGAGGGATAAATGGAAAAGGGATTGTGGTGTGAATTGTGGTGTGACCATTTCTCATGGTGCTTTTTCCCTCCCCCAGTACACGTGTCCTCTGGCAAAATTAAAAAAAAAAACAAAAACAAAACAAAAAAAAACAGTGTGCCTGCAAGGGAGAGAGAAAGCACCTCCCAAATGGGATGCATTCACACCACACACACACACACACACACACACACACACACACACAGTATGTTTCTCAAGCCTCCAGGGCCAGGACTCTAACCTTGGTCAGCCACGTGGGATCTCGCTCCCTTAACAACTGTACTAAGTGACTGCCTGACAAGAGCATGTCTAAAATTTAAAGTTAAGTAGGGGACCAGTATGGCGTAATGGCTGTCACTGGACTCCCATGTAGTCTACCGTGGTTTGGGTCCCGGACCTAGTGGCTTAAACTCACGCCGGTCACGTGTACGTGCGTGCGTGCCCAAGATCCCAAGAGGAGAATGGAGGAGGGGATTGCGGCATGGCCATCCCCCCAGGGGTTGATTTCTCACTTTCTGTCTCTCTGTCTTTCTGGTGAGTGCATGAGCCCTATAGCAAAATCCTCTCAAAAAAAAAAAAAAAAAAGTAAAGTTAAGTAGGAGAGTTATCTTTGCCCAACATGAGTACTCGTTGGTTTAGAACTCAACAGAACCAAGAAAATACAGATTTCTGGCTTATTGGTTCAATTCTCACTTCACCCAGAAAATGCTTCTGAAGACCCTGTTAAACTATTAAAACCATGCCCTGGGGACCAGTGGGTCATGCGGAGGTTAAGTCAGTGGGACCCCATTTGGCCAACTGCACTATTCAAGTCCTGGACTTGGAAGCTTGAAAATTACGCTGGCCATGCGTGCGTGTGTGACTGAAATCTGTAGAGGAGACTGAAGAAGAAAGGATTGTGGTGTCACAGTCACTCCCCTGGGGGTGATTTCTCCCCCACTCCCTCTGTTCCTCTCTGGCAAGCACATATACCGTATAGCAAAACTTGAAAGAAAAAAGAAAAAAAAAAAAACTCTGTAGGAGTCAGACAGGTAACAAAAATGAGTCCTGCAAAGAGGATGCAAGACCACAGGGAATGATGAAGGACTACAGAGTCTCTGCTTTTTAAAACATCTCACCTCCAATCAACAAATTGATAAGAAAAAATTCTATTTCTTTTTTCTTTCCTTTTTTTTTTTTTTGAGAGGTTTTTGCTATAGGGCGCGTGTGCTTGCCAGACAGACAGAGAGAGACAGAGAGACAGAAAGCGAGAAATCATCCCCCAGGAAGGATGGTCACACCACAATCCCTTCTCCTCCTTTCTCCTCCTGGGATCCTGGGCACGCACGCACACGCGCCCAGCGTGAGTTTTAAGCCACCGGCTCCGGGACGTGAACCGCGGTCGACTACGTGGGAGTCCAGTGACATAGCCATTACGCTAACTGCTGGTTCCCAAAAAATTCTATTTCTAGACAGTCATGTCCAGAGCTGTATTCTGAAAAACTACAGAAACCTGAGCACTCTAGAGCTGGAAGGGGATCAGCACTGTTATCTACGGTAGATCCCTTCGCCTGCCATTTATTTATTTATTTATTTAAAATAATTTTTTTTTAAATTATTTTTATTTAACTTTATCCATTTATTGATTTATTTTAATTTGATCAGAGAGGAATATAAGAGAGAGGGAGGGAGAGAAAGCAAGCTGTCAGGTTTAGAACTGAAACTGTGGTTGGCCATGTGGGAGTCCAGCGCCCTTAACCATCATGCCACCTGCCAGCTCCTCACCTGCTGTTTATAAACAAGTATTTTAGCTTTTTTCTAGGGCCGAACGTCCTTTGCAGCCCCAGTTTTTGCCTGCCTGTTGTAGGCCAGCACTTAACATGCTTTCTCATTTAAGCTTCAGAAACATGTTTGAGGAAACAGCATCCGTGGAAAAGCCACTTTTGCCTGTCCTAGCTGGCAGGAGGCAGAGCCAGAGATCTGCTCGTCCATGAAGCTCTGGTGCTTTTTCTGATACCTACCACAGCATGTCCCAGCAGCCCAAAATTGGGCAGGAGGCTCTTTCCAGCACAGCTCCGCCAGTAGACGACACTACTGAAGTGCTGGAAATGTATACCTGGGCCAGTTCACAAAGACCTCTCCTACCTGAATCAGATAGGCTGCCACCATTGTGGCACTCCTGGAGCGCCCAGCCTTGCAATGCACGTAGACACACTGGCCCAGCGCCTGGTACTTGAGAGCAAACTGGACCCCTTTCTGGAGGTTAGCCAAGGTGGGGATCCCGGTCATGTCGACTGTGCTGAGCCGCAGCTGCTCCACGCCTACTCTCTCCCACTCCTGCAGACAGGTCCGCCAGTATGAGAAAGAAGGAGAAAATGGGTGACAATGGTGGTATGAAGATGGCTTCTCAAAGCAGCAAAGTAACAAGGAAGCGACAGGGTTTTCTACAATGTGAATATACTGTTCCCTGTTTTCTAAAAGGAAACTTCTTACACAAATGCCTTTCAGGGGGACCCCTGTGGCCTCGTGGTTAAAGAAGCCAGATCCCAGGGAACCAGCAGTTAGTGTAATGGCTATGTCGCTGGACTCCCACGTAGTCGACAGTGTTTCGTGTCCCAGACCCGGTGGCTTAGAACTCACACCGGGCGTGTGTGCGTGTGTGCCCAAGATCCCGAGAGGAGAATGGAGGAGAAGGGATTGCAGTGTGACCATCCCCCCTGGGGGGTGATTTCTCGCTTTCTGTCTCTATGTCTCTTTCTGTCTGGTGAGTGCACACACCCTATAGTGAAAACCTCTAAAAAAAAAATAAAAGCCAGATCCCACATGGCTGACTGTATGGTTCAAATCATGGCCCTGGCTGGAAAAGCAGAGGCATTTGTGCATCCATACCCAAAATCCTGATGGCGGAGAAATGGAGAAGGGACTATGGTGTGACCATGCTCCTTTGGGGGAGCTTTCTGTCTCGCCCCATCTGTGTCTGTTTTTCTGTTTCTCTGATTTTTTTTTTTTTAAGAGGTTTTTGCCTTAGGGCACATGCGCTTGCTGGAGAAAAAGAGAGACAGAGACAGTGAGAGGGAAAATGAGAAATCACCACCTGGGGAGCTCACATCACAGTTCCTTCTCCTCTGTTCTTCTCTTGGAATTTTGGGCACATGCATACATGCACCCGGTGTGAGTTTCAAGCCCCCGGGTCCAGGACTCAAACCACTGTTAGCCATGTGGGAGCCAGTGACATAACCACTACATCATCTGCTGGTCTCTAGTCTCTCTCTTTGGCAAATTAAAAAAAAATTTGTATTTTCGGGGGCCAGCGGGTGGTGTGGTGATTATGGGTGCTGGACTCCTACATGGCTGACCACAGTTTGAGTCCTGGACCTGGCAGTTTGCTTTCTCATTTTCTCTCTCTACCTCTCTGGTCAAATTAAAATAAATAAATATGTTGGGGACCAGCAGGTGGCGTGGTTGTTAAAGGACTAGACAAGCCCACATGGCTGATCATGGTTCGAATCCCAAACCTGGTGGTTTGCTTTCTCACTTTCACTTTCCATCCTTCTCTCTCTCTCTTACTCTCTGTATGTCTCTCTGGTCAAGTTAAAATAAATGAATGAATGAATAAATAAATAAATATATAAAGTAAATAAAATAATTATTAAAAATAATTTTTTTAGAGACCAGCAGATGGTGTAATGGCTATGTCATTGGACTCCCACGTAATCGACCATGGTTTGAGTCCCGGACCATGGCTTAAACTCAAAGACAGGAACGTGTGCGTGTGTGCCCAAGATCCTGAGAGGAGAATGGAGGAGAAGGGATTGTGGCATGGCCATCCCCGCTGGGGAGTGATTTCTTGCTTTTTGTCTCTCTGTTTCTCTCTTTCTGGTGAGCGCACACGCCCTATAGCAAAAACCTCTCCAAAAAAAAATTTTTTTTAAAACAAAGGTTTACCTACATGGTTGGTCTTTCATTAAACAGACATGCTGTTGGAGCCAGTAGGTGGTGTGGTGTTTAAGGGCGCTGGACTCCCACATGACCAATCACAGCTCAAGTGCTAGACCTGGTGATCTGCTTTCTCACTTTCCCTCTCTCTCTCTCACTCTATCCCTCTCTGGTCAAATTGAAATAAATAAATAAAGTAATTTTAAAATAATATTTCCGGAGGGACCAGGAGTTAGCGTAATGGCTATGTCGCTGGAGGACTCCAATGTAGTCGACCACAGTTCAGGTCCCGGACACAGTGGCTTAAACTCACGCCGGGCCCGTGTGCGTGCGTGTCCAGGATCCCGAGAGGAGAATGGAGCAGAAGGGATTGTGGCGTGAGCATCCCCCCTGGGGGTGATTTCTCGCTTTCTGTCTCTGTCTGGCGAGCACCCTATAGCTAAAACCTCTCAAAAAAAAAAAAAAAAAAGAATATTTTCAGTACAGTTGCCTCCAAGTGGGAGGTTTATGCTTATTAAAAAAAAATAATAGAAAAGACTTGCTGCTGAGTTGGAAACATTGGGTCATCAGAAAAGTCACAACACATTTTGCATAGAAAAATACCCTGACTTTCCCAATGATGCCATATGTTGAAGATTTAAAGTCGTCTTTTTATTTCTTGGTGGGGGGAGAACCAGCAGGTGGCGTGGTAGTTGAGGCGCTGGACACTCCCACATGGCCGACCACGGTCTGAGTCATGGACCTGGTGGCTTGCTTTCTCTCTTTCTCTCTCTCTCATCAAAATAAATAAGTGAATAAATAAATTTTAAAAATAAAAAAAAGTATTTTTTTTTAAGATTTATTTATTCATTCATGCATTTATTTTCATTTGACCAGGGAAAGACAGATACACAAAAGAAAAGTGAGAAGCACCCCACCAGGTCTGAGACTTGAACTGTGGTCAGCCATGTGGGAGTGTCCAGTGCTTTAACCTCCATGTCACCTGCTGGCCTCAAGATTTAAAGTCTTAAAAAGCATTGCTGGGGCCAGCAAGTGACAAGATAGTTAAGGTGCTGGACTCCCACATGGCTGGCTAAGGTTTGAGTCCTGAACCTGGTGGCTTGAAAATCATGCTGGGCACGTGTGCGTATGCATGTATGCCTGAAATCTCAAGAGGAGAACAAAGGATAAGGGACTGCAGTGTGGCCATTCCCGTGGAGGTCATTTCTCACTTTATCTGTCTCCTTTGAGCACATGTGCCCTATGGCAAAAACGAAAACAAAAAACCTATCTCTGCCTTTCTCTCCCCTTGCCAAATAATAAAGTCACCTTGAAGTACTCTTGGATAATAAATATACACACGTGTGTGTGTGTGTGTGTGTGTGTGTGTATTTTTTAATTGCCTGAGAGTACATACATCTGTCAGAGAAAGAGAGAGAAAAAGGTCCCCAAATGGGTATAGTCACCCTGCAGTCCCTTCTCCTTTATTTCTCCAGCCTGTTGGGGTTAGGAACCCATGTGCACGCACTCGGCCTGATTTTCAAGCCACCAGACCTGGGACTAGAATCACGCAGTTGGTCATGTGAGAGCCAGTATCTAAACTCCCATGCCACGTACTGGCCCAAGGTATTTCAAGTGCAAGTAACAAATATTTCTAAAATTTCAAAAATATGGGTTAGTATCCTCAGGCTATGTGAGTACACTAAATAAGGACAATAATTTTTGAGTGCTAACACCTTCAAATCTGAGATAAGGCAACATCTCTTATTTTTTTTGAGAGATTTATGCTCTAGGGCTCCAGCACTCACAGAGAGACAGAGAGAAGCGATAAATTATCCTCTGGGGGGATAACCACACCTCAGTCCCTTCTCCTCCATTCTCTTAGGATTTTGGGCACGCATGTAAATGCACTTGGTGTGAGTTTGAAGCTGCTGGGTATGGGACTCGATCTGTAGAATGTGGGACTCGCACGATGTAACCATTACGCCATTTGCTGGTCCCAGGGTAACATCATCTATTAACTGTGTGGAAGGTTCTCAAACAAGCATTCACATTTAATGAAAATTATGTTTGGGACCCTATAGGAAAAATCTCTCTAAAAAAAGAATTATGTTTTAAGCTTGAACTTCGCTGTAAACAGTACTTTAGCATCCCATCGTAACCTCAAATATGAATAAAAATTCCCCTAATCAGAAGGTTCTGCGTTTGCATCTAGAGACTTCACTGAGTGTGTTGGGCATGTTTACATGTTCCCATGATCCAGGGCTGGTTGAGGCTAGGGGTGAACTGCAGCACAGGGTTGTAACCTGCTGGGGTGTTGTCTCTCTGTTTCTTTTGCTCATGGAAGAAATGGGTAAATGGAGACCAGCAGATGGCATAACGGTTATGTTGCTGGACTCCCATGTAGTTGACCATGGTTCGAGGCCCAGACTCGATGCCTTAAAACTCATGTACTTGGTACCAGCAGGTGGCATGGTGGTTAAGGCACTGGATGCTTCCACACGACTGACCACAGTTCGAATCCTGGACCTGGTGGCTTACTTTCTCACTTCCCCTCTCTCTTTCTCTGTGTGTCTCTCTCTGGTCAAATTAACATAAATGGAATGAATAAATAAAATTAAATAATTCTTTTTAAATTTTTTTGGAGAGGATTTTTTGCTATAGGGTGCATACGCTCGCCAGAAAGAGACAGAGAGACAGAAAGTGAGAATTAACCCCGTAGGGGGGATGGCCACGCCACAATCCCTTCTCCTCCATTCTCCTCTTGGGATCCTGGGCACACACATACATGTGCCTGGTGTGAGTTTAAGACACCAGATCCGGCACTCAAACTGCAGTCGACTACTTGGGAGTCCAGCGACATAGCCATTACGCTACCCATAATTAAAAAATTTTTATAAAAAAAAAAAAAACTCATATACTCATGTGCACGTGTGCCTAAAATCTCGAGAGGAGAAGAGATTGTAGCGTGTCCACCCCCGCTGAGGGGTGGGTGATTTCTTGCTTTCTGTCTCTGTCTCTTCAAGTGCATGTGCCCTATAGCAAGAAATCTCTTAAAAAAAAAAAGAAATGGGTCAATAAAATAAATTCCAAGGTGGGGGCGGTAGGTGGCGTGGTGGTTAAAAGTGCTGGATTCCCACATGGCAGACCACGGTTCAATTCTGAGGCCTGGCGACTTGCTCTCTCACTTTCCCTTTCTTTCTGTCTCTGTCTGGTCAAATAAAAAATAATAATAATAACAAATGGAATTAAATAAATAAATAGTTATTTTTAAAAAATAAATTCCAAGGCTGGCTCTGTGGCCTGGTGGTTAAAGGCAGCTGGATCTGACATGGCCCATCCTATGTTGGAGTACCAGAGCAAGGCGTGAGTTCATGCGCCCCCAAAGTCTGGAAAGGATGGAGAGGTGCAGAAGGGATTACAGTGTGACCATTCCTCATGGTAGTGCTTTTTCTCTCTCCATCTCTCTCGGTCTCTTTGTCTCTCTCTGTTGAGCACACTCAACCTGACCATCCCCCCCCAAAAATCCAAACCTAAGTCAAGTGAACCCTTTGTAATTTTCCAACTCATAGTTATTTTTTAAAATTTAACTTTTATGTATTCATTTTTTAGAACCTTTTAAAAATAATTATTTTATTTTATTTATTCATTTATTTTTTAATTTGACCAGAGATAGATAGAGGGTGAGAGTGAGAGAGACAGGAAGTGAGAAAGCAAGCCACCAGATTCAGGACTTGAAACCCAGTCGGCCATGTGGGAGTGTCCAGCGACCTAATTACCACGCTAACTGCTGGTCCCCTGTTTTTTTTTTTTTTAAATTTAAAGAGAGAGAGAGAGAGAGAGAGAGAGAGAGAGAGAGATGGAAAGTGAGAAAACAAGCTGCCAGGTCCAGGACTTGATCTGAAGTCGGCCATGGGGGAGTGTCCAGTGCCCTACCTACGACGCCACCTGCTGGCCCCTCCAATGCATCGTTAGAGCGCCTGACTCATACTTAGTGCTCAGGGAGCGTGGAATGAATTAGTGAATGAAATCGGCGCTCACAGAAAAGCCGCTTTTCGACTTGGGTAGGACTGCAGTTGCCGAGAGTCCGCATTCATTGTGCACTCGGGAGAACTCGGACTGCCAACCGCACTTCTAAACGCCTCTCACGGCGCGGCCATGGGAGCTTCGAGGGCCAGGTCCTCCCGCGGCGCCAACGCCCGGGACGCCCCTGCGGGCCAGTGAATGAAATCGGCGCTCACAGAAAAGCCGCTTTTCGACTTGGGTAGGACTGCAGTTGCCGAGAGTCCGCATTCATTGTGCACTCGGGAGAACTCGGACTGCCAACCGCACTTCTAAACGCCTCTCACGGCGCGGCCATGGGAGCTTCGAGGGCCAGGTCCTCCCGCGGCGCCAACGCCCGGGACGCCCCTGCGGGCCTCGGTCCCCTCCCGCAGCCTCTCCAGCTCTCCCAGGCAGGGCGGCGGCGAGGGGGGGCCGCCCGGGCCCAGGTCCCCCCGCGGCCGGAGCCGCTCACCTGCGAGGAGTTGCACAGGAACCTCGTCTCGTACTCCTCGTTCATGGTGATCACCCCGCGCACGTTCTCGTCCTGCACCAGCTGCCGCGGCCAAGAGGGGGCTGAGCGGGCGCGGGCGGGCGGCTGCGCCGGGGCAGGAGGCTCCGCCGGGGCAGGAGGCCGCGGCCCGGCTCACCTGGCGCGTCATGTTCCGCAGCGGCAGCGCGCCCAGCAGCACCGTGGGGTCGATGCGGTGGTACCAGGCGCGGTGCACCCGGCCCGGCATCTTCCCGCGGGCGGGGGGGGGCGCGGGGGGCGAGCGCGGCGAGCCCGCCCGCGCCTCCCGCGAAGGCGGCGCCGGCTCTCCGGACGCCGAGACCCCGGGCCCCGACCCCAGGGAGCCGAGGGGACGGCCGGGAGCCCCTGGGGCCGGCACCATGGCTCTGGAGGAGGGGCCGCCGACCTCGGGGGAGGGACCAGGGACGCCGGGCGGGAGGCTGGGAGGCCGGCGAGGGCCAGTGCGCCCTGGGCGGAGGCCGGAGAGCCGGCCTCGTGCGACACCGCGGGGGTGGGGTGGGGTGACCCCAGGTGGGGGGCATGACCCCTGCGTGTGGAACTGTGACCCCGGCGAGAGAGGAGGGGACACTCTCCTACCCCCTGTGGGGGCGGGAGGGGGACGGCAGTGACCCCAGGCGGCAGTGTGACCCCGGGAGTGGAAAAGAGCCCAGAGGCTGTAGTAGGGTCATCCTGCAGGTGAGAGTGGGAGCTGGCTGGTGGAGGGTGGAGACCTGGGTGGATGCCCTTCCCCAGCTCGAGCATGGCTTCCCTTCCTGCCCACATAGCAGTGTACATAGCATGCAAAAACAGGAAAACGCTATATTTACATGTGATTAAGTACAAATATTATGAAAAACTGAAATATAAAACCCACAACGTGAAGAGAGGAACCAGTTGTAAAGGTGATTATTTTTTTAATTTTTTTTGGGGGGGGGGAATTATTTAACTTTATTTGCCTTCATTTTCACCAGAGAGG